TGCGGCGATTGGGGCAGCTCCGTATAGCAATCTCCAAAAAGGGATCGCTATACGGATTCTTCGTTATACGGTGCGCTCGTTAAGTGAGGCACCACTGTATTGCATTGCAAAGGAAATAGCTTATCCATCACTAAGTTAAAATCATAATGTGAGTTAATTACAATGTCATTGTTTGGGGTGGCGGGGGGGAAGGAATTGGTTATAGTCAGCCTATTAATTGTGAGCAATTCCTGCCAAGCTCTGAAAATAGTTCTTGCTAAACCAAAAGCTCAACATAAAAAAAACCCTAAGATCATGGCCACTGGTCCCATCACCTCCTGGCAAATAGAAAGGAAAGATGTGGAGGCAGTGACAGATTTTAATTTCTTGGGCTCCGTGATCACTGCAGATGGTGACAGGAGCCCTGAAATTAAAAGACACCTGCTTCTTGGGACGAAAGTGATAACAAACCTCAACAGCATCTTAAAAAGCAGAGACATCACCTTGCTGACAAAGGTCCGCATAGTCAAAGCTATGGTTTTTTCAGTAGCAATGTATGGAAATGAGAGCTGGACCATATGGAAGGCTGGCCACCAAAGAATTGATGCTTTTGAATTGTGGTGCTGGAGGAGACTCTTGAGAGCCCCCTGGACTTCAAGGAGAACAAACCTATCCATTTTGAAGGAAATCAACCCTGAGTGCTCACTGGAAGGACAGATCCTGAAGCTGAGGCTCCAATACTTTGGCCATCTCATGAGAAGAGAAGAGTCCCTGGAAGAGAATCTGATTTTGGGAAAGTGTGAGGGCAAGAGGAGAAGGGGATGACAGAGGACAAGATGGTTGGACAGTGTCACTGAAGCTACCAACATGAATTTGACCAAACTCCGGGAGGCAGTGGAAGACAGGAGGGCCTGGCGTGCTCTGGTCCATGGGGTCACGAAGAGTTGGACATGACTTAACAACTAAACAACAACAGACCAATTTCTAAGCTGACTGCTGATCTAACCTAGTCAGGTGCACTTGCAGTTAAGATGAACCAAAATTTCAAACCACTGAAACCTTCTGAGTAAAGTTGCATTGGTTTGGATTGTGGGGTTGCTGTAAAATAAAGTCTTCCTTCTATCCTACCCGCAGTAGGACAGCATCATGGCTATACTGACTTTGGATGTGGCAGCTATAAAAATGATCTGTTGTATTTAAATCAGTCTCCAAGGTTGTTTAACCAATACTTTCTTCTTCCTGCACTGCATATCTATTTTACCTTAAATGGTCGACTGTAGCAATATGTAATTTTCATTTCTCATTATGTGACTGAAATATTAGCTTTTTCTACATTTTAAGAGTTTTACTTGGTCTTTGTTCATTCACTTTCTTACTACACTAGTCACCTTTTTTGTTCAAAACATTCTTACAATCCTTCAGTAAATCCTCACTTCAAACATTTTTATTTTTTTATAGTTGCCTCTGTTAAAGTCCATGATTCAATGTCATACAGTAGAATTCAGAATATATAGTACTGAGAATATGTGTGTTCTGAAAAGCAATTTTTAATTTTTGTTGCATACTGCATTCTTTATCATAAGGAAGCTACTCTGGATATCTCTGTTCTGACTGTTAGTGCATGGCTATGCTCCCATTGTTCATTCAGCCCAATTGCAAGATCTTTATATTTCACAATAGATTATACAATTTCATTTTGGATCCATCTGGTTTTCTTAAAATTCATTTGCAGTCTGTGTTCATTACTAACTTCTTTGACTTTATTATGTAACCTTTGCAGAATATATATAGTCAACTAGTAATACTGGATTGTCTGCACCTTGGATGTTGTTGATAATGTTTCATTGTTGAAGCTGTCATTTTAATCTGCAAGTGGCTAAAAAGATCCTTGAAATACAAATTGAAAACCTGTGGTAAAAGTACACATTTTTGTTGTACTCTTTCTTCTTCATATCTTCATGTTCTCTGTCATCTGAGCTTCAACTTTCACTGGAGCTTTTTGTTCACAATTATATAAGTAATTCTTGTATCAGAA